GCCCAGGCAGGTCTCGAACCCACGAGCTCAGGCAATCCACTCACCTCAGCCTCCCAAAGTGCTGGAATTACAGGCTGAGCCACCAAGCCCGGCTCCAGCTACCTTTTTATAATACCTACCTGACATACTTGAAAGCAAATTTTAGTACTGCAAATATAAAATGACCCAACAGCAATCAGAAACTGTTCCCAACAGACCCTGCTCTGGAGGGTTTTTGATCTGGGATCTACCGACAGGCTTCAGGATGTCAATGAATCTCAAGTTGAGTAAAATGTTAGGTATGTGTACATTTTACTGGGGGGAGGGTTCAGACATTTGATAAAATTCTCAAAAGGATCCATAATCTAAGAATGTTAATCCGGCCAGGCTTGGTGGCTCAGCCTGTAATCCCAGCACTTTGGGAGGCCAAGGTGAGTGGATTGCCTGAGTCTGCAGGTTCACGACCCACCCAGGCAACTTGGCGAGACCTTGTCTCTACAATAAGTCAAAAATTAGCCAGGCATGGTAGCGTGTGCCTGTAGTTCTGGCTACTTGGAAGGCTGAGGCAGAAGGATTGCCTGCACCCAGCAGGTTGAGGCTGCCATGGCTGGGAACATGCCACTGTACTCCAGTCTGGGCAACAGAGTGAGACTTCCTTAAAAAAAAAAGAAACAGAAAAGAATGTTAATCCCAGCTCTAGTCCAAAACTTTCACAAGGGCCAAAAGGACTGAAGTCTGACCAAAGATGACTTTCACTTAGTCTCAAGTTTTCTAGGTTAGTCTTCTAATAAATCAAAGTCCTAGCCAGGCTCGGTGGCTCAGCTTGTAATCCCGTGCCTTTGGGAGGCTGAGGTGAGTGGATTGCCTGAGCCCGCGGGTTTGAGACCCGCCTGGGCAGCGAGACCTCATCTCTACAATAAATCAAAAAAATCAGCTGGGCATGGTAGTGCATGCCTGTAATTCCAGCTACTTGGAAGGCTGAGGCAGAAGGATTGCCGGAGCCCAGCAGGTGAGGCTGCAGTGGCCGGGAGCAGCCACTGCACTCCAGTCTGGGTGACCGAGTGAGACTCCATCTCAAAAAAAATCAAAGTCCGAACACATGAAAGCTCTAAGGGACCCCTAGGGTATCAAGGAAGCTAGAACCTATAGCCCTCCAGATAAGGACCATCATGCCTATGAACTGGGGAAAAATCATGCTACAAAATAGGACTTTGATTAAAACGGAGGACTTGGAAGGGAACATGGAGAAATGGAACAGATGTATTGAGGTGGTAAACTGGCTAATCTGAAATATTTCCTCATATTTGGGTGTTAGTTTTGGTATGTTGCTTATACTACAAATACTTTTTTTTTTGTAGTCAGAGTCTCACTCTTTCGCACTGGCTGGAGTGCAATGGCGGCGCAGTCATGGCTCCCTGTGGGCCCTCCTGAGCTCAGGTGATCCCTTTTACCTCAGCCTTCCAAGTACTAAGGGCACACACCACCATGCCTAATTTTTTTTTTATTTTTTGTAGAGATAAAGTCTTGCTACGTTGCCCAAGGTGGTCTTGAATTCCTGGGCTCACATGATCCTCTCAGACTGCTGGGATTACAGGTGTGAGCCACTGTCCCCAGCCCTACAAATACATTTTTAAGACAACTGATGCTGTGAAAGACATACCCCTTTCCAAACAGAAGGACCACAAGGTCCCACCAATGAAGGACTCTGCCTTCTCTCTGCCCCCTTCAAAGCACTGTCTCACTAGAAAAATAATGGCAAAGACCAGCTCCTGCCAAGCTAGACAGTCAGGGATGGACATGACATTGCCTGAAATCCCATGGGGTGCTTGCCTCCTAGTTGCCCAGCTTCTAGAAGTGGAACCAAATGAACTTTCGATCCAGCAAGAATAGTATTTAAAAGCTACAATCCCAGAGCAGGACCTTCAAAGAGACTCCACAGTCATCTGACCTCAAGCAGGAATAGACTTGTCCAGGTGCAAAGGTCAAGAAGCCAGACCAACAGGTGCTAACTGTGGCTGCTCTAACTACTGCCCCCACATCTGCTTTCAAGATTCCTGCTGGCTATGAGCACTAGTAAGAGATGATCAGTGATCAGAAGGGGCAAGGCACAATGGCTTACGCCTGTAATCTTAGCATCTTGGGAGGGCAAGGTAGAAGAATTAATTAAGCCCAGGAGTTCAAGACCAGCCTGAGCAACATAGCAAGATCTTATCTCTACAACACATAAAACAATTAGCCAGGCGTGACAGTGTGTTCCTGTAGTCCCAGCTACTTAGCAGGCTGAGGTGGGAGGATCACCTGAACCCAGGAGGTGGAGGTTGAGGCTGCAGTGAGCTGTGATTGTGCCACTGCACTCCAGCAAGAATCCAAAAATCAGACCAAAAGCTAATTAGAATCCTTCCCTGAAATTTAGAATAGAAGGCAGACACTTGAAGAAAAAGAAGTAACAGTAATTGAGAACCTTTTGTTAAAAACTTCCAGAAATTTTTCTGAGGCTCTGTATCAATAAACATCCAGCTCAATCAGTCTGTTCTTTCCCCAACTACAGAATTCTACACATTTAGAATGTTAACCTTGAGTATCATCAGATTCTACATCAAAGATTCAATAACATTTGTAAGGCTATATTTAAAAAGATAGGAAAGCAGACAAATCGACTTTAGTAATTAACTGAACCACAGACCTGGAATCCCATTGACAGTGCCTGACTCAGAATGTGTAGCTAGGCAGACACACTGTCTTGATTTAAAGTCCCAGGATTTTCTGACCTCATGACAAGACATGGCTGCATCCTGAGCCGGGCACAGGTTAGATGTGCCCTATCCTCCAGAGTAGAGACTTTGCCAAACACTTGCCAAGTGGATCCCAGATTTAAGCTAACAGTAATCTCCCAAAATGCTTCTCCTAAGTACTCCCCATAAATACTCCATTCACAATATATTCTTAGAGCACCTCCCCAACAGTCTCCATAACTGAAACCAGATTCCTAAGCAGCAGCAAAAAAACCCCCTCAGGTTTAACAAAGAGGCCTTGCCCCTCTCTAGTTGGAGGGTAAAAACAGTGCTAGTGATACAACTCTTGCAAGCATATGCACCTGTGTTATTCAATCACCATGATGTACAGATAAGCAAAACTGCTCTTTTCCTCAAGAGGAGGAAGCAAGGGTCCTTGGGAGCCAGAATTTGCTCCTAGTGAGTAACTGAGTCACAACTGCCCTTACAGTACCTTGGTGGTTTCCCCAGGCTCCAAGTAGATGGGCCAGCTCCACCCCCTGAATCAGTCACCTTCCCACCAGGAACCTGTCAGCACTTACCATTTAGGGCATATGACTTCTTGTCGCTTGCCTCCTCGGTGAGTTCACACATGTCACTGTAGGCCCGGGCCAGGCGCCAGAGAAAGTCCTGCCGGTTTCCATACTGCAGATTGAACAGGAAAAGGTGAGGCCTGTTTTCTCTCAGCTGTGTAGAATGGGGGCCCTGGCCTTCCCCCCACAGCCTAAGTTGGAGTTACCAAGCCAGTGTATTACAATCACTGATACCAGGCCAGCCCCTATGCATAGCCTTCCCCCTACCCTATCCCTCCCCAGGTGCAGTTAACTGATAACATTATCTCTCTAGCCAATTGCACAATCACAGGGTGAGGACATTCTGGCCTCATACTGCCAGGAGGAAAGGTCAACTCCAAGACGATGCAATAGGGCACAGCAAGAGGTCTTTTGCTGATATGTGAAAAATGTGAAATTGCCCAAGAAAAGGGAAAATTCTAATTTGGGGGAGGCATCGTATCTGACTGAGCATAAATTTTGTCAGTGAACCTGAGAAGGGAATTGTGGTTGAGTGATCTACACAATTGTCACTTGTAATGGCAGCTTCAAGTGGGGTGGGCAGCTTGGGCTCTGCCTCAAGAGAAACTAGAGGAGAAAAAAAATTCCAGTTCTTTCCACATTTCCCCTGCAGTGAGAAGTGAAACTTTTTGTAGTGCCTCTACAAGAAGCAGGAGGACTGTATTCCCCTTTCCAGAGGGGAGGACACTCTGGGGCAGGCAGTACACTGGCCCCAGAGTCCACGCTAGGCCCTCTTAGAGAAGGATGTGCAACTGGGGATAGATGCAGAACAAGCCATCTCACCCCCATTTTCCTTCCTACGTCACCCTGCAGGATCAGCAACAATACAGGCCTGCCTTCGTTTCCTGGGGGTCAGGAGCAGAGGGAGGGAGGGGAAGCAGATAGGCAGCTAAAGCCTCACCGCCAGCTTGTTGTTAAGCAGCAGCTGGAAGCCCTCCTGCCTGCTCCGCTCATCGCCCTGGTGCAGTTGGTCCACCTGCTGCAGGAGGGGCAGCACATCCTCCAAGCCCGAGGAACCTCCAGCCTCCAGACCCGAAGTTGCCTCCACCTCCAGGTCCAGGGAATCCTTTCTCCCCATCTTCACAGTCTCACAGCTCACTTCATCTTCCCCATCCTCACTCTCCTTGTCAGAGTCCCGCTCATAGTCAGACTCAGCATTGGCTGTTGTATAACTGGCAGAGAAATGTAAGTGATGGTCAAGGGAGAGCACAATTAGGCTCAGAGCTTCTAGGGTCTATCCCCTATCCCCAAAGAAGGACTCTACATGGCACTGTTGCCTAGAACACCAAATAATAATCATTCCTACCTCTTCAGGACAGAAATTAGTCTTCAGGAGAAAGCTTCCTATGGAACTATGGGCTGGGAAAATGATCCAAGAGGGAAAGAGTAGCCAGCCTGCTGGGGCCCTGTGACAGTCAGAGCCAATATGAGAAGCCCCCGCCTAGGTACCACCAAAACTGCCAGAAAACAAAAAGAAAAAGCCTATAAAGGTACCTATAAAGTGTTCCAGTAGATTTCTTAGGGTAGAGAATTAAAGGTAATTTTATTTATTATCTTTTAACATATTACTGCTTTAGTGAACATATATTCTTTATATAAGTGAAAATATCTAAGATCTATGTGGAGGTGAGCTCCTGAGCTAGACTGATTACCAGGCTAAGGATCTGTTAATTTTTTTTGCCTTATCTGTCAGAGACACTTGCCAGAACCAACCTGAGTGGGTGCTAGCCTCTGGCAGCTGCACAGCCACAGTTTCTTTCTCAGTTAATCTTGTAACCTCTGACTCAAGTCAGCAAGCAAACCTAAAGCACAACAGGAGTAGCCCTTGGTAACCTTGGGAACTTGAGGGTGAAAAGGGAGGTGATGGGGGACACTTTGCAGCTGGGAGCAGGAGAGGACGAAGATGCCAACAGAACCCCCTGGGAAGGTATTTCTGGGGCTGCCATAGACCAGGTGGCTCCCAGGGAGCCACAACCCTGATGCACCCACTGAAGAGCAGGCCAAAGTTCTCTTGGATTTCAGCTGCCATCAGCAGCTGATTAGGGTGTTTCCCCTAATTGCCAAAACTAAATCAGAAGAGAACTGGGCAGGTGAGAAGCTAGGTCTTCCAGGGGCCAGAATCAGATACCAGAGTGCCCTCTAGACTGAGCAAAGGAAAAGCAGGATCTATCAGAGCCAGAAGGTCCTGAAGCTAGGGGAGCTCTTAGTGTCATTTAGTGATAACTTCCTCCATCTTGGAATAAAAGTGCAGGCTTCCTGTGGCTGAAGCAAAACACACCTGAAGCAGAGATGAGACAGACCCCTACACAGAAAGTCAATGCTAGACAGCCTGAAGTTAGGGACTAAATGTTACAGGCAGAAGTGCTTTCTTTCCAGAAAAACAGACCACAACATGGTAGGCTCCAGAAGGTACTAAGCAGGCAACTAGACCTGGCAACCAATCCATGCAGACTGCTTCCTTATTAGATGAGCTTCAGTCTCATCTAAAAAGGGACCCCAGGAACATCAACTACAAGAACTTATAGCCGGGCTCGGTGGCTCAGCCTGTAATCCTGCGCCTTTGGGAGGCTGAGGTGAGTGGATTGCCCGAGTCCGCGGGTTCAAGACCCGCCTGGGCAGGCGAGACCTCATCTCTACAATCAATCAAAAAATTAGCCGGGCATGGTAGCACGCGCCTGTAATTCCGGCTACTCGGAACACTGAGGCGGAAGGATCGCTGGAGCCCAGCAGGTCGAGGCTGCGGTGGCCGGGAGCGGTCACTGCACTCCAGTCTGGGCGACAGAGTGAGACTCCAACTCAAAAAAAAAAAAAAAGAACCTATAAATACTTGTTAAGTATTTAAAACTTTCCTCATCTCACTTAGCTTTTTAAAGAGGTTATTCAAGTATCTTCACCTCTAGCTATTTGCAGTAAAAACTTTTGAAATTAAAGAGACAAGAAGGTCATTGTTAAACTCTGGTGTGCCTATGTGGCTTTTTGAGCTATGGCCACCATGTTTCCTAGCTTTGCTCCCCTCCCCTACTTTGAGGAGGTGAATCTTTTCTCTTCTCCTTTTCTTTTGCTTCTGCTGCTGCTGCTGCTTCTTCCTCTCTTTCTCTCTCTCTCATTTACTTTCTAAATAAACTATATTTTCCAATCCAAAAAATAAGTCGAAAGACATGGAAAAGTATCACCAGGTTTCACAACCAACCTGGGTAGTGATGAGTGAGACCAAACAGGGACAGCCCACAGAAACTCCCAACTGAACCCATAAATGGGAGAATCAATCCCAAGTCTATTCTGCCTAGCCAGGCCCAAGAGCAAAATGGTTAAATGGTTATGTGGACAGCGGGAATCTCATCATCCCCTTTTATTAGAAAGAGGAAGAGATCCTATTTTCTGCTGGGTTGAGGGCTGCCTCAGCCAATCAGGACTCTGATCCCAGCACTCTTGGGGAGGGCCAACTGCTCTTATCCTTGCTAGACTCTAGCAACTAGAGCACAGGCATCAGCACAGACTCCCCTGGGACCTGAGCCAGGATGAAGGTCCTACAATACTGTCCTAAAGGGCTGGAGCTCACAGAGCCAAGGTGAAGCAGGAGTCGGGGGGCCCACCATCACCTACAGAGCCCTGAGAGGCAGGAAGGCCCTGGTGAGGCTGGCACAGTGAAGAGGACTTCAGTCACACCTCAGCCTCACTTCAAGGAGCTCTGCTAACCAATCTGAAACTCTACTACCTGGCATCAGCCCCATGGGCTTCCAGAGCCTCAGAAGACATTAATCACATGCCAGGGCTTCTAATATTTATACCATTCTCATACTTCTAGCTCCCAGACTGCCAACCCAGCCTTTGGAGGTATCCACTAGAGGGGTAACCGGTTTTTGTTTAACATGCCCTGAGCCTTCTGAGACCTACCAAAGATGAGCTGGGACCTTTGGAAAGGCTGTTTGGACCTGTGCACTCAGGAGGAACACATTGTTCCCAAGGTGGCCAGAGACCAAGACTCCCTCTGAGCAAGGAGACTGAGTTGCCTTACTCTGTGTTAAGGAGACCCCACAAGTCTGTCATCAAGGACTCAAGTACACACAGCTCCCCTTCTTCTGGCAATTAAGTTTCTTTCAACTCCACCTATAAACCTCATTAGAGGGACTGAGTGTGAGGCATTCAAAGATGAACCTGAACCTGACCCTGAAATAAGACCCAATCTAATGAGGTGATAAATGTCCCAAAAGGAGTGAAGATGAAGATGAGGTTGTTAGCAACCCTTCTTGGCCAGGATACCCAGAAAGCCTTGCTGAAGGAGCTAGCGTTTAAGGCAAGCTGAGTTCTACAGGGCGGGAACTCGAGCTGTTTGGTACAATGCCCAGGGAATGAGCTCACAGACCTGCATAGTGATTCTACCTCTGCCACATTTAGTCAGTCTCCTGAGAACTCAAAAGTGTTATTTTATTTGGGAGAAAGAGGAAATACAGCTTTCAGTGAAATGGAGCAGCCTATCAAATCCCAGTCCTTCATCCCTCAAAAAGCTCTCTTGGCCCCAGGGCCAACCTGTTCAAAACCATTTCAGAGTTTGTAGATGCCTCCCAGAATTTCCCCTTGACCTACATGGCACTGGCCATGGCAAAAAGAACCATTCACCGTGGCCACTGCCCTGGATAGCAGCCAGCTCAACTACAACGTTGCACCATCACCAGCTTTCACACCCACAGGGCATGGGGTTGAACCTGCTGGAGCTAAAATTCAGAATGCCGCCCTTCCCCTTTCTCCATCACAGGTGGCTGGCAGCCTTGCCCTACTCCTTGTGACTTTGAAAGCCCCAGTGAGCACCCAAAGCAGTGAAGCACCCACAAGTGTCCCTGATTAACCACTCTAGCTCTCACTAATCCCAGAAGTTGGTACAACTTCTTTAAGTCATCGTGAAAGGCCTTGAGTTCTACATCCTGGTCTTGGACAGAGCTGTGACCCCCTCCTTCTACTTCCTTACAAAGTTCAAATGTCAATTCCCCAGCCAAGTGACCTGCTTGCTTGGGTTGCAAAAATGCTCTTTAAGTCTCAGTACCCACTACCAACTACTTTATCCTTTATTTTCAATTCAGATGCATCAAATATTAATTTCATTTTGCCCCCTCCTCTAACACTGTCTCTGGCAGCATCTCTTGGCCCAGAGCACTTTAGGTAAATTGAATAGAAAATGGCCACTTCTGTTAGCCGGAGAATACAGATAAGAGGTCAGACAACCCAGGCTACAGTAGTCACCGATAGGGATCTGAGCCCTTCACCAAGACTTCACTTGTTTTGGGAGGCACCTGAGCAGTAATCAGATCCAGTACTGGTGACCAATGGCAGTGACACGGAAAAGAAGCATATGGCATGCATTGCATACAGTAGTTCAGTCAATGATGGACCACATATACAACAGTGGTTACATAAGATTACAATGGAGCTGAAAAGTTGCTATTGCCTAGTATTTATTATACGTTTAATCATTATTTTATCTTTTTGTTTTTTTATCTTTTTCTTTTTGTCTCACTCTGTCTTGTCAGGCTGGAGTGCAGTGGCACAATCACAGCTCACTGCAGCCTCAAACTCCTGGGCTTAAGTGATCCTCCCACCTCAGCTTCCCAGTAGCTAGAATTATAAGTGAGCATCACCACACCTGGCAATATGCACACCTGTTTTTGCAGAGATGGAGAGTCCTGAACTCCTGGTCTCAAGTTATTCTCCTGTTTCAGCCTCCCAAAGCACTGGAATTACAGGCATGAGCCACTGCACCCAGCTTTTATTGTTATTTTAGAGTGCACTACTTCCACTTATTTAAAGAAAAAAAAGTGAACTGTAAAACACTCTCAGGCTGGGCGTGGTGGCTCAAGCCTGTAATCCCAGCACTTTGGGAGGCTGAGGAGAGAGGATTGCCTAAACCTGTGGGTGCGAAACCAGTCTGGGCAAAATGGTGAGACCTCGTCTCTACAATAAAAATTCAAAAAAAATTAGCCAAGCGTGGTAGAGCACACCTGTAGTTTTGGCAACTTGGAAGGCTGAAGTGGAAGGATTGCCAGAGTCCAGCAGGTCAATGCTGGGCTGGCCATGAGCATGCCACTGCACTACAGCCTGGACGACAGAGTGAGACTCCAACTCAAAAAAAATAAAAAAATAAAACAGTCTCAAGCAGGTCCTTCAGGAGGTGTTCCAGAAGAAAGTATTGTTACCATGGGCGATGGCAGCTCTATGCATGTTATTACCCCTAAAGACTTTCCACTGGGACAAGATATGGAAGAGGAAGACAATGATCTTGATGATCCTGACCTTGTGTGAACCTAGGCTAATGTGTGTCTTAGTTTTTAATACAAAAGCTTAAAAAATTTAAACAATTTTTTAAATAGAAAAAAAGATACCGAATAAGGATATAAAGACAGGAGATGTTTTTGTACCACTAAATGTGTGTTAAAGTTACTATAGCCAGGTACAGTGGCCCATGCCTATAATCCCAGCACTTTGGGAGGCAGAGGCAAGAGGATTGTCTGAGCCCATGGGTTCGAGACCAAAAAATCAAAAAAGTTAGCCACACATAGTGGCGCACACCTGTAGTTCCAGCTACTTGGAAGGCTTAAATGAAGGATCACCTGAGCCCAGCAGGTCAAAGCTGCGGTGGCCATGAACATGCCATTGCACTCCAGCCTGGGTGGCAGAGTGAGACTCTGACTCAAAAAAATAAATAAAAACAAAAAGTTATTATAAAAAAGTTTTTAAAAATTTAAATCAGCCAGGCCCAGTGGCTCATGCCTATAATCCCAGAACTTTGGGAGGCCGAGGTGAGAGGATTGTCTGACCCCAGGGGTTTGAGACCAGCCTGAGCAACTTGGTGAGACCTTGTCTCTACAATAAGTTTTTTTTTAAAAATTAGCGGGCAACCCCTTTGGGTCCCCCTCCCACTGTGGGAGCTTTTCTGTCCTCTCAATAAATCCTGCTTTCTTACTTTAAAAAAAAAAAAAATTAGCTGGGCTTGGTTGCACACACCCATAGTTCCAGCTACTTGGAAGGCCGAGGTGGAAGGATTGCCTGAGCCCAGCAGGTCAAGGCTGTAGTGGCCATGAGCATGCCACTGTACTCCAACCCAGAAGACAGAGTGAGGCTCTGACTCAAAAGAGAAAAAAATTAAAGCAACAGTAAGCTAAGGCTAATTTACTGAAGGAAAAAAATTTGCATAAAAGCATTGTAGTTGGGCCTGGCACAGTAGCTCACGCCTATAATCCCAGCACTTTGGGAGGCCAAAGTGAGAGGACTGCCTGAGCCCATGGGTTCGAGACCAGCTTAGGCAACTTGACAAGATCTCATCTCTACAATAAATCAAAAATTAGCTGGGCATGGTGGCACATGCCTGTAGTTCCAGCTACTTGAAAGGCTGAGGTGGAAGGATCACCTGAGCCCAGCAGGTCGAGGCTACAGTGGCCATAAACATGCCACTGCACTCCAGCCTGGGTGACAGAGTGAGATTCCAACTAAAAAAATAATAATTAAAGCAGTGTAGTCTAAGTATACAATGTTTATAAAGTCTACAGTAGTACAATGTCCTAGGCCCACTGCTCACTCACCCAGAGCATATGTACAATTTTTTATCTTTTATTTTTTGAGAAACAGGGTCTTGCTATGTTCCTAGGCTGGAGTGCATATTCCACAAGTGCAGTGGCACAATCACAGTTCACTGCAACTCCTGGGTTCAAACGATCCTTCCTCCTGCCTCAGCCTCCTGTATAGCCGAGAGACTACAGGCACAAGCCACTGTGCCTGGCTCTTTTATCCTTTTCTTTTTTATTTTCTGAGTCAGGGTCTCACTCTGTCACAGAGACTGGAGTGCAGAGGCATGATCATGGCTCACTGCAGCCTCAACCTCCTGGGCTCAAGTGATCCTCCCACCTCAGCCTTCTGAATAGCTGAGACTACAGGCACATACCAACACGCCTGGCTAATTTTTTAAATTTATTATAGAGACAGTGTCTCACTATGCTAGTCCCAAACTCCTGGGCTCAAGTAATCCTCTTACCCTTGGCCTCTCAAAGTTCTGGGATTACAGGCATGAGCCTCCACACCTCACTCATTTTTTCTCTTTTATACTGTTTTTAACTGTACCTTCTCTATGTTTAGATACACAAATACTAACCATTGTATTACAGTTGTCTACAGTGTTCAGTACAGTAACATACTATATAGGTTTGTAGCACAGGAGCAATCAGCTATGCTATATAGCCTGGGTGTGTGTGGTAGGCTATGCCATCCAGGTTTGTGTAAGAACACTCTATGATGAAATTGCCTAATGACGCATTTCTCAAAGCATATCCCCATCATTAAGCAACACATGACTATAATGTTATTCTTGAGAACATAACAGACCAAACAAAGGTTGAAGTTATGTAAGTAAGATACTCCAAGCCAGGCTCGGTGGCTCAGCCTATAATCCCGCACTTTGGGAGGCTGAGGTGAGTGGATTGCCTGAGCCTGTGGGTTCGAGACCCACCTGGGCAACTTGGCGAGACCTCATCTCTACAATAAATCAAAAAATCAGCCGGACATGGTAGCACGTGCCTGTAATGCCGGCTACTCAGAAAGTTGAGGCGGAAGGATCGCTGGAGCCCAGCAGGTCGAGGCTGCAGTGGCCGGAAGTGGCCACTGCACTCCAGTCTGGACGACAGAGTGAGACTCCAACTCAAAAAAAAAAAAAAAAGATATACCAAGCAAACTACTGCTATACCTCAGGCCTCCCCTACTTAGCTGTAGTGGCTTAGTCAATAGGAAGAACTCCAAGGAGCTACATGGTACATGACTTCCTGTAAAAGTCCTTGCATGCCCTGATGACCAAGCCATTCCTCGGATCGCAGACCCTCACACCCCTAAAGACAAGCCCAGCTGTCAGGAGAATGGGACTTGGCATCAGATAGGCTAAGTCTGCACTTGGTAGTTGGACAACCCTAGGCTGAGCTTCAAACCTCGTTAAGCCTCACATTCTCCATCTGAGAAATAGAAGAGCAGAACCTGCATCACAGGACTGTTGTGAGGATCAAGTGAGGAAATACCTCTCAAGCATTCAGCACAGTGTCTCCCAGAAGAAGTAAAGACTAAATGGTAGCTAGTATTAGGTGTTTCAGCTAAAGAGAGACAATCCACAAAGATCATCTGACTTTAACTTTAGTTTCTGTGTGCATGCTTATAGCTTATTCCTCTGATCTGGCATAAAGCTTGGCTGTTGTCTGCAGGAGGAAGAAAGGCTAAACAAGAGATCAGCCTCTAGACCTCACACAGACCACCTGGGTAACTGGAGCTAGCAGCGGACAAGGCCGCTACTGACAATACCAGAGTTTCAAAATGGTGCTAGTGGCTTAAAGTCAGAAAGCCCTTAGCCTGACCAAACTTGGAGGAGGCTATCAGACTTCCGCCTGCTGCCCCACCTCACAGTAAGGCCTATGGCCATACTTGCAGGGCCACTGAGAACTCGGGACAGTCACCTCCCACTTGTAAAGATGTAAGGGAGCATAGGCAAGGCTCCCCTGTGGGAAGAGGTGACTCCTAGGGCGGGGCTGAGAGATCTCTATACACCAGCTCAGCCACTGAAAGAGAGGAACAAAGTCATGAAACAATGCTTTAAAAGTCCTTGTGATAACACAGAACGAGGTCCAAATTAATGAAAAGTGTGTCAGCACAGTAACTATGTAAAAAAAAAAATCTGACTCAGAAAAAAATAACAGATGTAAGCAATAACCACTGCTAACATCCCCGTTTGTGTGGGTGACATACATTGGATGGTTTTTTTGTCTCAACTGCTGTATTTTATTTATGCCCTTACCTATTCCAAAAATTATATACAGCAGCTTGGCTTGAATTTTCCATTGATAAGTAATATCTTCACAAAACACACCCTGGCCACAGCTGCCTCCAGGGAAGACAACTCACCCCCCTTCACTCTCTGCATCTGTGAGCGCGGCTCCTGAGGAGGCCGTGAAGTAGACAGAGCTGGAACCCGTGGAGTCACTCCTCTCCCGGGCAAAGGGGAATCTGCGCCGCCGAGCCATTCTCTGGTTCTCTTCCACGTGGGATCTGAAAAGCAGGCCATCCCAAAGGGTACCATTAGCCCCTCACCATGGGGGAGCCTCTTACTACTGCTCCTCACTATAGGGCCAAGAGCAGAGCAAATCCTGGGTCTCTACCGTCAGGAGGGCAAAAGGGGCAGCTCCCCAGGCCCAGCCTGCAGAAGCAGACTAGATTAGGCAGCAAAAGGTTGCAGCTGCTGCAGTAGACCATGAAGGCCCCACAACTTGTGTGAGGCAAGGTACCAAATGCACAGCTTCTCCCCAAATTCGGTTAAAAGCTATAAAACCAGTTTCTATCTTAGAGACAGACAGCTAAGACCAGAACATACCACAACTGAGAAAAATTGTAGGGGCAGGGACAAGTTGAGGGGTGGCGAACAAAGCAGGAGAGAAGACTGCATTACTCACCGGACCTCCCCAACAATCTCCCCAGCAAGCCCTTGCAGGCTGCTCCTCAGCTCTGCCACCTCCCGCCGCAGTGCCACAAGACTGGACAGCACGAAGTCCAGGCGGTTCAGCACCTTCTCCTGCCCTTCCTGGGGAAGACTGGGCAGCATCGCAGCATCTCCAGCCTCATCTGGGGCAGCCCGCATCAGCATCACTGAACGAAGGGTAACAGGAGAGGGTGACACCCAGAGAGATCCTGAGGAAATGATCTTGCACCCCAAATTCAAGAACACTTGATTCTCACTGCAGTTCAATTTACAGAGAAGACCCTGAGGTTAGGCAGCATACGCTTGAAGCTAAGTCATAGTAACAAGCCAGTAACTATCCAGACAAATGTTAAAGGTCCCAACCTCTAAATAAGAGCCCTCTGCTCCAAGAACCCTCCACACCAGGGCCCTTCAGAAATGCTGCACACCATGGCAGATAATGCAAAATGCTTGTAAGAGTATGGTGCCAGCCAGGTGCAGAGGTTCATGCCTATAATCCCAACAACTTGGGAGATGGCGGCAAGAGGATTGCCTGAGCCCGGGGTTCAAGACCAGCCTGGGCAACCTGGCGAGACCTCTCTCCAGTAAATAAAAAAATTAGCTGGGCCTGGGGGTGCACACCTGTAGTTCCAGCCAGTTGGAGGCTGAGGTGGAAGGATCGCCTGAGCCCAGCAGGTCGAGGCTGTGGTGGCTGAGAGCGTGACACTGCACTCCAGCCTGGGCGACAGAGTGAGACTCCAACAACAACAACAACAAACACCAAGCTTCACTAAAGAACTTCATTTAGTATTGTCAGAAAAGGGCAAGAGAAAAGGGATAGATACTAAGAGAGAAGGCTCGGTGGAAAAAGCCCATCAAAACCCCATCAGAAAAACAGCATTATGAAGCCTCATTGACCCAAACTTGAGTTGAGCCCATGGTAAATTCCAGCAGTGAAATACTACCTACCAACTGAACTAGAAAATGTAAAGCAGGAAAAAAACCAGGAAGGCAGGATCCACAGTCCAGGCAAGCATAAATCCCTTGTTTAAGGAAATCTAGTAAGAATCTAGGCCAGAGTACAATAGATGCCCAATAACGCTCAAGAATGTAGAGCAAGAAAGATCCCTAGGAATGTGGCCACTTTCTCTAAGCCCCAGTAGTAAGACTACTAAGAAATTACAAGCAAAACACACAGGAGGAGGAAAGACAAGCATACCTGCAATACTAGATTACCACCAGGTTATAAAATGCTGACCATCAGTTACAATTTAAGGTGAGAACTCTTTAAAGACGCTTCCAAAACTATCCCAAATGCTTCAAACACTGGTAATCAGAGAAGACACTAATTTCCAATTAACATGGGGGAGTGAGATAATCTAAATGCTCCTCTATCACACAAAGATGGGAGTGGTTTGAAGCAGCACTAGATGCTTTGCTCTAACGAGTTAACAAATTTTACAAAACTTAAAAGTACCACCCATTTCAGCTGTGGCTGACTTCCAGCCACCTTCAGCTTCAATTGCATAAAGTGTGTTCCTAGCCACATGCTAGGAGCATGTATCTAGGTGACCTGGACCAGGTGACCAGGCCCAACCTTGCCACTTACTCTGTAACAACCTCAAGAAAGTTACACAATCTTTTTGAATCTCAATTGCTTCATAAGAAGAATAAAAAACTTGGATTAGTTTCCAAATTTCCTTCAAATTCAAACACATAATTTAATATGTAAACCTCAAAGTGTTTAATCCCTATAAGATTAGCTATTCCTTTTGGCCTTCTGTTGGACTCTTTCTCTACTTACATACCTCACCCAACACTAAGCACGTGCCTTTAATACACACAAAGCCAGAATTAAAAGTGAAAGCTAAATGGTCTTTTTGCAATATACTTTCCCGCGAATATAAGGGAGAGAGTACAATATAACAAAGCTGTTTTCCTTTTCAATAAGCTTTCAAAAAAACAAACAAAAAAAAAACCCCCTCAGGCACATCCCTCCTTTGCCTTGTCCCACAGATTCCACCAAAAGCTGCCCGGACCCCAGGTCCATCAGTGTTCAGGGACCGTGGTCTCAGGTGATAGGCTTCTACCTTGGCGCTCGGGCTCTGAAGTCTGCGTGTAATCCAGAGAGTTGGGCAGGCTCTGGCTCCGGCCATGACGCTGGGTCCGTTTCCATCGCTGGCTGTAAAGGACGCACAGGAATCCAAGGCCGGCGGCGGTGCCCAGGAACAGTCCCAGCCTGGCGCGGGCACCGCCCAGGACCCCCAGTCTAGACATACTGCACCTGCTGCAGCTCGCGTAAGCCATCGCGAGCAGGCGGGAAGCGGGAGAGAGATTCGTGAGCCTGGCAACCCCGCCCCCAAGGCCGAACCCCGGGAGGCATCCCCTTACCCGAGCCCTGAGCTCCCTACTCCCCTCAACCGCTCCTGGTCACTAAGGTTTCCTCCAGCCCCCGGCCCGCCTACCGTGCCTCTCACCCAGCCTGGACGTAGCCGACCCTCCAACACATCCCCAGACCCAGTTCACGGAGCCGGCTTTTGGGCCCTCAACCACCACCTCCGTCTCATAACACTGCAGACAGCACACCCGTCGCCCTGGCTGAAAAACTCCTGACCTCCCCGCGGCCCCCGAAAGCGCTCTGGCCGGGCAGGAGAGCAAGTCGGACCCTTACCCGGCCGCCAGCCACCATGGTAGCAGCCACCACCGCCGCCTCGCGCTGTCAATGACCGTGTCGTCATCAAACGGCGCCACCGGCTCGGCGCACCGTAGGAAGGCGCGGTGAGATGACCACACGCTCCGCCCCCTGCTTCCGTCAGGGGCGGGGCCGCGGGTGCTGACAAAGGGGCGGAGTCAGCAGAAAGCGCGAAAGGCGAAGAAAGGAGGAGGGAGAAGGGAAAGGAAAAGCGGTAAAGCTGGGAGTTTCTTGGGCCGGACCTTCGAGCAGTAGCCCTGGCTAGGGTTCCACTTCCCTTCCGTCGCATCAGCTTCCCTGCTGCTCCCGGAATACGTTCAGCATATGCACGCTTTCTGCCTTCGCTTCTGCCCAGAACGATCCCGTCTCTACTGGAAAACGCCACCTCCTCCCCTACTTTCCTTAACACTTTGTCGCAGCCCCGACTTCTTTTCATTGGGGGCTGATTTAATGGTGTATGGAAGTTTTACTCAAACCAACTACTAAATCCTAGACAACAGCCCTTTCCACAGATCAAATGAGTAAAGGTAAGTTACTGATTATCCACAAAAGTTCCCCGAGCTCCGGGTCTAGCTTCTGCCTGCTGACACTTGGGCACTCAAAATATAGATGCACACTCAGCACCTAAGTCTAAAACTTGAAGTTAATGTTATCGTTTTTTACATTAACCAGGGAAGGACTGTAAACTGTTTTTCTATTTCCAGAATGGATAAAGTCTTTGAAATCCATTTCTCTTATGATAACGTTTTTTAACATTTGGTGAGCTGAAACTTGACCTCTGATTGCTTAAATTGGTTCAGATACCATTTTGGGCTTGAGTTTTTTGTTTGTTTGTTTGGTTTGTTTAAATCTGTTGGTCAGTTTTTCTGTGTCCGCCAGTGACATATAGATTTTTTTTTCTAACCCAAGACATTTTACTCTTGTGATTCTATACAACTTACTGTAATTTCAGAAACTAAAAAGACTGATTTTATGGACTACGATTCCAATTTTATTGTCAGCATTTCTTAAGAGTTAAAATTTAGTTTAGTGACAGCCGGGGCCAGTCCTCCCAAAACTCTTGACTAGCTCTTTTTTTTTGAGTTGAAGTCTCACTCCGTCTCCCAGACTGGAGTGCAGTGGCCGCTCCCGGCCACCGCAGCCTC